TGGGACTCCGTTGTTTTACAACTCCTGTTTTCCGTTGGCAACTTGGCAGAACTGGCTGAATGAACTTGGATGTAAACGATTGGATACCATTTGCATTAGAGACTATGGGTTCAAGAGTGTTCCAGGATTATGGATGTTAAGTAAGCAGTTGAGCTTGGGAATCCTGAATCTGTTCTTGAACCTCAATTTGGCTGACATTCATTTAGCTTTATTTCCCAGGTGTGGAATAATGTTCTTGTTGCAGTGATTTAGCTGTTGCGTTGGATCTTCAGCTAAGTGAGAGTGACCAGACCGAAGTGCATGGTTACACTTTCCATAATAGTCATTTCTGTTCATCGCAGCCACTACGCTCCCTTTGTCGGCCTTGGTTATCACCATTTTATAGAATCATTTCGTCTGAAATTCATCAGTGCCTTTATCTCACTCTTGGTTAGGTTGCTATAGATATTTCTTTTGGTTTGAGCAAGCCGTTCAGTTTCCGCTACAAAACGGCGAATTACAGTGCTACTCTTTCTTGAGTAATGATTTTCAGTGATGGCTGTAAAGTCAGGAACAGGAATGTTCTGTGAGCTGGAGCCAGAATTAAGTCCTTTTCTCAGAGAGGAACTTTCTTCAGATGTTAAAGTTGAAGCACTCAAATTAACTGTCGTAGTAGGGCAATTTTTTCAATAGCTGTAAAAGGTAGGGGCAGACTAAATTAGGAGTGCAATTAACTTTTTAACTTTTTCCTCTATTCTTTCTGTAGTTCAGGCCATTTTTTGATTCCTTGTCCAGCCGTTTTCAAAGGTCAATATTATTTTATTGTTGGTTGGAGCAACATCGTTAGAAAGTATTTCTAGTGGTCGCTATGCCTCGTCAATCACGTAAGCTGTACCTGCTGGATTTCAAATCACTGCGATGCCTGATGAATGCTTCGTATGCGTAGGACATCTGGTTCTACATATGCATTTGGTAGTCTGTCATTTGACTTTCCGAGAAGAACCAGTTTTATGACTGTCTCCTCTCACATCTTCCTCACATATCCAAGCCTTCGTCTTTCGAATCTTTCCATCTGGGAAATGGGCACGTAGCTTAAGATGTAAGATAATCGCAGATTGCTAGGTTTTGACTTGTCTAACTCCCTTACAATAAGAGACATATGGAGAAACCTAATTTCTGCTGTCTATCTTTTAGATCGTGATCTTTGGTCAGTATCGAGTACTAAGATTATGATTCAGGGAGAGGTGTTACATTCTACAAGATAGATTGCTTTGCATTGCTGATCAATACTCTGTTTATCACCACAGACCCGTTACGTCTAGAATTACTGTGCACAGCTGACTGATATGCTTCCATTTCTACGTCCTGCCTGACATAGGACGTTAATGCCTCCCCGGCGTACTTTAACGTCTTTTTCCTTCTTGGTTGTACGCCACTAACCCTCCAAGCATGCGAGCCGTCAGATGAAACTTCCTCGATAGTTCGAAGTCAATTCTTAATTATAACATTGTTCTTCATAGCACATTATGGAATTTGTGATGGAGATCAGCTCGTTAGGAAGTGAATTTCACATGATCATCTATGAAGGGGTGACTCAGTCGAGCATTTCGAATATTCAGGTTCACCATGTTTCTTTATATCTAGTCTATAGCAATGATAAATGCGAGAGAAAAGAAAATAACACATCCATGATGGGTATTAAGATCAAAGGCATAGCTGTGAGATATGAAGAAATTAAGTTTTTAAATTCGGCTAAGTTAATTGGTGAAACGTACGTAAAACTGCAGTTTTGTTGTCGCTTTAATTATGAACAGATTATGGTCTGTCTGAAAAACCGGCCTATTAACTAAATTTTTGTTTGAATTGACAGTTGAACTATCAGAAGTTCGTCTTGCTACTGTGATCCCTTTCTTTTTCGATGCTAGGTTGACAAATAAATATTCCTGTAGTGGTGAAGAAGCAGAAGAATACATTGTAGATTTCCCGCAGCTGTTGTATTTGTAAATGAGGCATTTATGGGTGGTGATATGATATCCAAAATCAGTGCCGCGCTACGCTTGCTATGGACTGAAAATGAGGAACTTTATAACTAACCGTGCGTCGAT